TCTCCACACATGTGCCCTGGCACAGACAATTATTACAAAATAATTGGAGGTAGGGCTGGAAAAATAGCTCACCAGATGGTGGCTCACAACTGTCTGTAGCTCCAGTTCCAGGGGATTCAATGATCGCTCCTGGACTCTTCAAGAACCTGGCACATGTGGTGCACAGATATGGATGCAGGCAAAATACCAAAACACATAAAATTTTAAATAGTCCTTTTTTGAGATAGAGGCTCATGTCGGACAAACTCACTTTGAACTTGCTATATAACTAAAGCTGGCCTTGATTGAAGTGTTTACCTAATTCTTTATCAATAAAAAATCAGGAGTCAGATATTGGGGTAAGAACCTAAATGATTAAAGAAACGGAGAAGCCACCTCTTCTCTCTGCCGTTTCTCTATCCTAAAGGGCTGAGATCCTCTCTCAATCCCATCTTACAACTTCCTGTCTCCTATCTGTAGGCAGAGGCTGCTTGTTTATTCCCTGGCCACCCAGACCCAAAATAATCACACAGAAACCGTATTAATTGCAACACTGCTTGACCTATTAGCTCAGGCTTCTTATTAACTAATTCTTACATCTTAAATTAACCCATGTCTATTATTCTGTGTATTGTATCTCTCTCCTTTGGCAGCTACATGGCATCTCTTTGACTCCGCCTTCTTTTCTCCTCTGTCTCTGCTTGGAATTCCTGCCTTGCTCTATTCTGCTCTGCCATAGGCCCAAGCAGCTTCTTTATTCATTAGCCAATAAAAGAAGCACATAGACAGAAGGACTTCCCACACCACCTATCTGTCCTCAGTCTTTCAAGGTCTCCATGGTTAACTTTGGTCAGCTAGTGGCTAGCTCTGCCCTCTGACTCAAATCAAGCTTTATTATCAGAATGTGATAAAAATATCACAAAACACTTGATCCCTGAATCTCTTGCCTTCGGCACAGAAGCAGAGATAACAGGTGCATGCCACCTAAAACTTTATTCTTTTTTTGTTTAGATTTATTTCATGTGTATGGGTGCTTTGCCTACATATATGTATGTGTACCACATATGTGCCTGATACCTGTGGAGAGCAGAAGATGTCAGATTCCCCTGGACCTGGAGTTAGAGATGGTTGTGAGTTAGCATGAGCAATGAGAATCAATCCTGGGTTCTCTGCAAGAGCAATGAATGTTGCAAGTAGTTAAGTCATTCCTCTGACACATTCCAATAAGGTTTCAGCAGCTCCTTTCTGTCTAGTGAGAGAAGATGCTCCAGGATTATCTCATATTTTACCTACAACCTGAGAACAAAAATTTCTTTAAGATCCCAGCTTCCTGACTCTTGGAATTCTAAGCTAAGGACTGTGTTAAGGTCCTTTCAAGGTCTGAGGTCAGCACTCCCACTGTGTGACACCCAGTTGTTACAGAACTATTTGTTGAGATGACTATTATTTTTCCATTGGATTGTCTTTGATTTCAAAAATTATTAGTACATATTAATCATATATAATAATGGGTTTCACTATGACATCTTCATACATGCAGATAACTTTTTATTATATTCACCCATTGCCCTCTTTTGTTCCCCTCACTCCTGCTTTCTACTTCCCTATCAGTCCCCTTCTACTTTTGTGTGTATGACCAAGTGAGTTAGTGCTACTCACAGGAGCATGGGCACTTACAGTGGTTATACCACTGAAGAGAAGGTGTCTCCCTTCCCCAGGGTGGGGCCTCCTGGGCCAACTCTTCATTTACTTTTTGACAAGTTCTCTCATAAAGCCTAGGCTGGTCTTGAATCTGCTAGGTAGCCAAGGATGACCTGGAACTTTTGGACCCACCTGCGACCTTCTGAACCTTCTGAGTGCTGGGATTACAGGCCTGCACATCAAGTCAGTTTAGGTATTGATGTGATGCCAAGAATCAAACCTAGGATATTCTAGGCAAGTGCTCTATCAACTGAGTTATACAATATTGTATAGGAGTGGTCCAGGAAGTTTGGTCAATGTGTAAAAGTCATCCGGGAGCTAGCAGTGGATTCTGAAGGATGAAGGGGTCACAGGAAGCACTAGGGCTTGGTGCTGTGTGACAGGGCCAGAGCCCCCGAGGAGGTGCCAGGAGAGGCTACTGGTGAAGGGGCAGCCTCAGCTACTGTAGAAAAACCCAGCATATTGCAGAAACCAGGACTGGGATGACCCAGGAAAGCGGAAGCTATGGGTGGGAACTGGCCTGAGCCTAGAGGCGAGCTGTGTAAGCTGGGAAGGGCAGGCAAGGCAGCTGACCGAGTCCTGTGAGTCCCACACACCGGCCACTGAGCCACTGTTGGCTTTTCTGGGTTTTCTTTGATTGTAACTATGGCCTGGCTCCTTCCTCTTTAAATAGAAAGTATATAATTTACTTTAATTTTACAGGAGCCCACAGTTAAGAGACAAATTTAAATTTAAAGACTGATATTTTACAGTTATATCAAGTTTTACATTTTGATATTAGTATGAGCCCTTGGGGACAGATAAGAAAGGAAAGGTTATGGTTGAATAGTGACATGTTTGTGTGGCGTGCATTGCCTAGCTTTCTTGTCAATGTGACACAGGTTAGAATCATCTGGGAAGCATGAATACCAACTGAAAAAACGCCCCCCTCAATTGCAGTGGCCTGTAGGCAGGCAGGTAAGTCTGTGGGGCATTTTCTTGGTTAATGATTTGCCATGGCTCCAAGGAACGGACCTGACTGGGTTGGGTGAGGGACTGGAGAAAAGACAAGTGCAGACAGACACAAAGACAGAAAGTTGGGCTCCTGCTGTAGGAAGTGCAGCACCCCAGAAGCTCAGTCTGAGAACAGAGAGACAGGGTCACTGCATACCAGACAAGGAGATGGAGTTGTCACATACAGATAAACAGGAAGCGGGGTTACGGTACACAGCTGGATCAAGGAGATGGGTTTAACTAATCTTGATAGGTGCAGTCTCTGTAGGGGAACAGTCTTCAGGCTATAAACATCCAGTGGGGAGAAGCCATGGTGGACATTTTCTACATACACATCAACTTTCACACATGGACCAGAAGAGAAGACTTTGCCATTTCCTTCTGAGCTCTTGACATGGCAATGCCTAACAGAACACACTCACTCACACTTCATTCACTCAGGGCTTCCTCTCCTCCCTACAATGACTGGTTTGGGAGGGTACAAGCCATTGTGGGTGGTCCCACCCTAGAGTGGGTGGTCCTACCCTAGAGTGGGTGGTCCTGGATTGCGTGAGAAAACAGGCTGAGCAGGAACTCCTTGCAGTCTCTGCTTCAGCTCCTGCACTAGGTTTCTCTCTGCCATAGACTCCCCTTCACACGGACTACAGCTGAAAGCTGAAACAAAACCTTTCTTAATAGGAAGCAATAGAGAGCAAACTAGCACATACAAACACACATATTACATGTGTGCCTGTGCGTACGTTTGCATTTGTGAGCACGTGTGCGGCTATGCACGCATGTGATGCCAGAGACTAACGCTGGATATCTTCCTTGATGACTATGTTTCTAATGATTTATTTCTAACTTCTAGGGTTTTATCTAAACTTCCTGCCAAGGAAGTTTAAACTTACCTGCCTATGTCACCCTGTCACTCCATCTTCACACAGTACCATAAAGTCAGTCTCTCCGCTGAGATCAAGATTGATCTAGCTTTACCCTAGTACTACCTGATGTGCCTCTTAATCTCCATGCTCCCCTCAGAATTCCTCAGTTTGGGCAATTGTCTTAGGGCTTTCCATTGCTGTGAAGAGTCACCAGACCAGGGCTACCTTTTTTGTTTGTTTTGTTTCTGTTTTTATTTTTTTTGAGATGGGGTTTCTCTGTGTAACAACCCTGGCTGTCCTGGAACTCACTTTGTAAACCAGACTGACCTCAAATTCACAAAGATCCTCTAACCTCTGCCTCCCAAGTGCTGGGATTAAAGGTGTGGTCACCACCGCCGGGCAGGGCTACTCTTCTAAAGAAAACATTTAATTGGGATGGCTTACTCAAGAGGTTCAGTCCAAGATCATCAGCATGGCAGCGAGCAAGCAGACATGGTGCTGGAGCAGTAGCTGAGAGTCCTACATCATGCAGGCAACAGGAAAATGACTGAGATGCTGGTCAGGATCCTGAGCATAGGAAACCTCAAAGCCTGCATCCGCAGTCCTCCAACAAGGACACACCCACTCCAGCAAAACCGCAGCTCCTAAAAGTGCCGACCATGATGCTCTGGGGCCGATTACACCCAGACTGCCACAGCAGCGAGTTCTGTCTCACACATCTTCAAAAATGATAGAGACCCTGAGCTGTCTCTTCTGTCTGGAGTGGTTGGTTTTAATATCCACTTGCCACAAATTTGAATCACTTGAGTAGGGAACCTCAACTGAGGAATTGTCTTTGTTATTTTAATTGATGTGGAGAGCCCCACCCAAAGTGTGGGTGGCAACTTTAAGTAGCAGCTCAGATTTAAAAAGTTAACGGCAAGAGGAAGATTATTCAACCTTTGGTAGCTTGGCTTCATGTTGATTTCTTCAGCTGCTGCTGCTGATTCCCTACACAGACATCAAAACCAGCACCTCCAGGCTGCCATGGGTGACTAGGACCAGTAGCTCTCCAAAAACCCTCCAGAGTTTTGGTGTCAGACTGGGACAGCCAAGGCACTCAGTCCTCCAGGCATGAGCAGCTACTGGGTTTCAGCCTCTCAGGTGTGAAGCAGCCAATGCTACTATTTCAATGTAAAGTGGCTACATTCAATGTCTCCACCATATCGGTCCTGTTCTTCTTGAGAACACTAATAAACATGATACGTACCCAAAGTGCCTTGTGCATTGATTTACACGCAGTGGGTGCCTATTAGAAACATGTAGACTAATAATATGCTTAGGGGCTAGGAGTGTTCCTCAGTGGTGCAGCATATGTTCAGCACGCAGAAGGCCCTGGTTCAATCCCTGAGTACACACACAGAATATAATGAGCAGGTTCCACCAGCAGCCTATGAAAGGAGAGAAAAGAAAGCATACGCAGTATCTTTGTTCCACAGTTCATTTATGGAATTGGGGCAGGTGATTTAACAACAGACCACAATATATGGCTGGGAGAAAACCATTGTTGCTTTCCCGCCCAGGACCCAGTTGTGATAGGGAAGCTTGCAAGTTTTCTAAAATAGCCATCTGTTGTTGGGCAAGCTGGGTCTGAAGCTGGAGGTTGGCATACACACTTCCTAGGACTCCTAGGCACTCCTTGGGCTTCTGGCCAGCTCCTGAAGGGAGAGTGATGGAGGAGCAAAGGGGCAAAGGAAAGAGGCTTTGTAATTGCAGTGAGGTTGGAAGGAAACCATGAGAGAACTAATCCTCCCAGGTACAACCCAAACCAGACGCACTTCTGCTCAGCAGTCAGTTCCAAAGGTTTTCCTGTCAATTTTGTTTTAATTTGAAATCAATTATTACAACTTGCCCCTCACCTTTCTACTTTTCTTGTAGTATTTATGGTCATCTGGTATACACAGTAATAGCTCGTTTCCCTAAGTTCCCTGCTTGAGTGTATGCTTCAGGAAGGCAAGGACTTTATCTCGTCTACTTTAGGATCTCCAGCATCTAAAGAAGTCACTGGACATAAGTATTCAAAACACATTTAAAAAACCGGGTGGTGGTTTTTTAGTTCCAACTGCCTTTAGTTCCAACACTCAGGAGGCAGAGGCAGGCAGATCTCTGTGAGAGGCCAACCTGTCTACAGAGTGAGTTCCAGAGCAGCCAAGGTTACACAGATAAACCCTGTCTCAAAAAAAGAAAAAAAGAAACTAAAAAATTTGGGCATATGACAGCACATGCCTCTCAGCCAAGGCAGAGGCAGGTGAATCTCTATGAATTCAAGGCCACCTGATCCACACAGAGAAGTTCCAGGACAGGCAAAGCTGCACAGTGAGACCCAGTCTTAGAAAGAAAACAACAAAACTTTGGGGGCTGAAAAGATGATTCCATAGATAAAGCATGGCTGCTAACAGTGGCTGCTAACAGTGGCCTACAGTTCCACTTACAGGGGATCCAGTGCTGGCCTCTGGCCTCCACAGCTATTACATGTATGCAGTGCACAGACAGGCATATGGGCAGAACACTCACACGTATAAAATATATTTTTAAAGCTATTACAAAAAAGGAATTGATTAAGCCAGGTGGTGGTAGCACACGCCTTTAGCCCCAGAACTCGGGAGGCAGAGGCAGGTGGATCTGTGAGTTTGAGGCCATCATGGTCTACAGAGAGAGTTCTAGAACAGCCAGGGCTGTTACACAGAGAAACCCTATCTTGAAAAACAAACTAAATAAATAAAAATTAAAGATGTCTGTTTGTAGAGAGTTTTTTTAGATGTATTTATTTTATGGGTACGCGTGTTCTGCCTTCATATATGTCTATGCACCATGTGCATACAGTGCCCATGGAGGCTAAAAGATTAAGAGATTAAGAACATTGGCTGCTCTTCCAGAGGTCCTGAGTTCAATTGCCAGCAACCACATGGTGGTTCACAGCCATCTACAATGAGATCTGGTATGCTCTTCCAGCATGCAGGCATATATAATAAATAAATACATTTTTTAAAAAATGGGTTTTATTATTGTTGTTCCTCCTGTTTTTAATTACTTGGGGTTTTTCCATCTTATGTGTATGACTGTTGCCTGAATGTATTTCTGTGTACCATGTTAATAAACAATGTCCAAGGCGGTCAGATGGGCTTTGAATCTCTTGGTACTGGAATTATGGATGGTTGTGAGCCACCCTGGAAACCAAACCCAAGTCTACTGAAGGAACAGGACATGCTCTTTTCATGTTTTGTTTTCATTTGGTTGTGTTTTTTTGTTTTGAGAAACAGGGTTTCTTAATATGGCCATCCTGGAGCTCCCTCTGTAGGCCATGCTGGCCTTGAACTCAGAGATCTGCCTGTCTGTCTTCAGAGTGCTGGGATTAAAGGCTTTCGCCACCACTGCCCAGCTCTTGGAGTTTTTTTTTTGTTTTTTGTTTTGTTTTGCTTTTTTAAGACAGGGTTCCCCCCGCCCCCCAAAAAAAACCCGAAAAACAAAAAAGGCCAGGCGGTGGTGGCGCATGCCTTTAATCCCAGCACTTGGGAGGCAGAGGCAGGCAGATCTTGTGAGTTTGAGGTCAGCCTGGTCTACAAGGGTTAGTTCCAGGGCAGGCTCCAAAGCTACAAAGAAACCCTGTCTTGAAAAAGAAAAAAAAAAAAAAAAGACAGGGTCTTACTGTGTAGCCTTGGCTGGCCTGGAATTGAATATGTAAACCAGGCTGGCCTTTCAGACCTCCACTTAAACCTTTGAAAATTTGATTTGAGCTGGCGTGGTGTAGTACATCGGTAATCCTAGTGGCTTGGGATAATGAGTCAGGACGCAAGTATGAGGGCTACACAGTGAGTTCCAGGCTACAGAAGAACTCAAAACAACAACCAAAGAAGAAAAAATACTGAGACAGGGTCTCACATATCCCACGCTGACTGTGAGCACTCCATTTAGCTGAGGGTAAATATGAACTTCTAATCCTCCTGCCTCCATATTCAAGTGCTGGAATTACAGGCATATGCCACTGTACACAGTTTGTGTGGTTCTGGGCCTTGTGCACACCAGGTAAGAACTCTACCAACTGAACTATATTTTCAGACTGAAAAAAGGGTTTTGTTGTTGTTGTTTTGTGGTTGGTTTTTGTTTGTTTCTTTGTTTTGCTGAGTGGGTGACACCTAAGTCCCTTCAGGGCCTGAAGCTCCTTTACTGTCTCACTCCAGCCATTCTTTGAGATCAGCTTCATTTGTTTGTCTTCAAGACAGGGTTTCTCAGTAGTTTATGGAGCCAGTCCTGGAACTCGCTCTGTAGACCAGGCTGGCCTAGAACTCAGATTCATCTGCCTCTGCCTCCCACGTGCTGGGATTAAAGTCGTGTGCCACCCCCGCCTGGTTGTCAGTTTACTTTTTAAATGTTTTCAACTGAGTTGTCCGTAGGTGGCTTAGTTAACATTAATGATTACACTGCCTGCTTTTGGGCAGTGGGCTCCCCATAAGTATTCAAGTATCCACTGACTTCCCAGGAGAAGATGAGTGAGAGAAATTCAAAGAAGCTGAGTCCAAGCTAAAGTGACCATCTCCTTCCCTGGTTCCTTTTAACTATCAGGAGCAGCAAGCAGAAAGACTGTGGTCTCACCCTGCCTAGTTGAGCCAAGCAGCTAAAAAATGAGAAAAGAATAGGATTGGCAAAACTGGGACGAAGCTGAAACCAACAGAACTAAACAATCAGCAGACTACACAGTGAAAGCCGGCGACAGGGTTGCTCTGATGAGAAGTTAGCACTGCCCAAGGGAAGCTCAAGCTGCTCTGCACCTTCTGCCCTGCCGGGTCTGCTTGGGAAGCCTTCCCCCACCAAGTCTTACCTGAAGGCAGCTCTGTTGTCTGGATGTTCAAGAAACTGGCTGGCAAGGAATTTGCTTGAAGATTAATATAACTGGGGGAGGGTTTTGCTGGACAAAAACACACAGCATTATCTTCCTCTTTGGCTGAAAATCAGGTGACTAAATCAAAACTCATTCTAACAGGGATTAGCTTGCCTTCCCCTGCCCCCTCTTCCCTCTTTTAATTGTAAGACAATAACCCAGGCTGGCCTTGAACCCAAGACCCTCCTGCCCTGGCCTCTCAAAGGTGGAACTGTGAGTGTGAGACCACCGTTCTGGTTAAATCACTGTGCCTGGTTAAAAAGCAGACACCAGGTCCTACCCAAGGACCAGGAAGACACACGAAGAGAAGATACAGAAACCAATGAGAGTTAACTGAAGCCAGGCGTGGCAGGAGGAAAAGTCTAATTTACTTCCTTGATCACTACTCACTAGACACTGAGAAATACACAAAAGACATGTACAACATGGGGCTGGAGAGATGGCTCAGAGGTTAAGAGCACTTGACTGCTCTTCCAGAGGTCCTGAGTTCAGTTCCCAGCAACCACATGGTGGCTCACAGTCATTTATAATGAGATCTGGTGCCCTCTTCTGGCCTGCAAGCACACATGGAAGGAATGTTGTATACATAATAAATAAATAAATCTTTAAAAAAAAAAAACATGTACAACATAGTTTCTGAGCTGCTCATTATGATAATGATGAGAGACAACTGAATCAGGTGAAACATCATCACAGAATCTGGAAGCAAGAGGATCAGAAGTTCAAGGTCAACCTCTGCTACACAAGAAGCTCCAGACCAGCCTGGGTTAGACAAGACTTGTGAGGCAGAGGCAGGCAATCTACAAAGCAAGTTCCAGGACAGCTAGGGCTAAACAGAGAAACCTGTCCCGAAATTAATTAAATAAATAAATAAATGAAAATATCCACAAAAAAATACCCTGGGTAAAAGCAAGGTTTTTACTGGGTTATGGGTGAGCACAGCCAGCTAAGGCCACACGTAAACAAATGTAAAACATAAGGGTTTAAAGGAGAGGGGAGAGTACAATGAAGGCAGGTTTACAGGAGGCTGAGGCTCTCTAGCAGACCAGAGTAACAAACATGGTGCTGACAGGTTTAACCTTTTACCCTTCTCTCTTGCTTGCTAAACCATTAGATTACATTCCTAAAGCTAACACCCAAGGTTCTCTGAGTTCGAGAGTTCGAGGCCAGTCTGGTCTACAGAGTAACTTCCAGGACAACCAGGCTACACCCTTCCTCCCCACCAAAAAGAAAGAAAAAAAAGTTAGCTCCCTATAGCAACAAAAGAAAGAAAGAAAGAAAGAAAGAAAGAAAGAAAGAAAGAAAGAAAGAAAGA